GTTTTTGATTAGTAATATTTAATTTAACTGTTAAAACAGAATCCAGAAATTAAATCAAACAGAATTTGGGGAAAAAATAAAACTATTTCATAGGGCCTTAATTTCGAAGTAATCTAGTTTCAAGATGGCCAAAGTTCATTTTTGTTATAGGACTTCAAACAGTCGTCCTGGAGCCTTTTGAATTGGTTTTGGAAGCCGTTGCTTCCTCCAGATTGTCTGTGAGGTTCTCTGAGGAAGTTTTCTGTGGCTTGTGTCCTCAAACGAATGGATGGAGGGGGTTGGAGGCGCTCTGGACGAGGAAGCTCTGGAAGCTTGGGCTTTGTCTCAGGATTATAATGTTCCAGAGCTGAGAGAGAAGAAGAGCTTTTAGTTCCTCCGTAATATTCCTTCCAGTGCAGACTAGGAGTCAGTCGGCTCATTGTTGTTTATGTGTCTCGGACCGGACAGATGTACTGTCTCTCTCCATTCAGCCGGCGCTCACAGGAGGGAACGTTTATCATCAGCCTGTTGCCGGGGAAAGCAGTTTAATTACACGCGGAGATAATGTGTATGTAAATAACTCTTTAAGAGATACGTGGGACGAGAGCAGAGCTTCACTCATGCAGAGTTTTTATATCCATCACACAGTGTTGTTGGCTTGTTTGGGTGCCAGATCTTGTATTGCTTTTGTAGGCGGAAAGGACTGGGTTAGTTATGTTGTGGTTAGTGAGGATGGCTGTGGTTTATGAGGTTAATTAAAAGGGTTTACAAACCCCGTCGAGATTGGAATGGTTGGATTGGCGTCAGGATAACTCAAAGTCCAGTTAAAGACTGACTTCCTGTTTCTGGAAAGTGTCTTGGTTTTGGTGCTGGTTATCGCCAACTATGTCGTGATACGATGCACATGCTTTACAATGTCATAGAGCGCAACATTTATTTGCACCACAAATTGACTTTAACTTTTAAGATTCTGTAGAAGACAGAAGTCAATATGATTTTAACTTCGTTGTTCACAAAAAAGTGTTTATAATCCTAGAGAAGTTGATTGGAAGCGGAAATTGTTGCAAAAGAACAGAACGTCGTCTTCCGTGAAGCATTGCAAATGACATAATCGAGTCTTCTTATACACACTTACTGCATGCATGTTTATTTATATATGTTGCAATAAAAATCTTAAAGGGATAGTTCAGACAAAAAGTAAAAATTGCTGAAAATGTGCTCACCCTCAGGCCATCCCAGATTAGGATGAGTTTGTTTCTTCATCAGGTTTGGAGAAATGTAGCATTGCATCAGTGTCTCAGCAATGGATGCTCTGCAGTGAATGGGTGCCGTCAGAATGAGAGTCCAAACAGCTGATAAAAACATCACAATAATCCACAGCACTCCAGTCCATCAGTTAACATCTGGAGAAGACAAAAGCTGCATGTTCATATGAAAAAAAAGTCCATTGTTAAAAGGTTTTTTATAACTTTAAACCGTTTTGTTCCCAGCTAAAGTACGAGTCCATAATCCATAATAACGCTTCATCTCCTGTTGTCTCTCACATCAAAATCCACTGACGTATTTGTTTAGAGCTGTTTTGGACTGTTTTAAACGCTGCTTGATCTGTGCAGATTTCTCTCTTGATTCAGACCAGAACACTTTTTCACTGGAGGAAGAGTTATTATGGATTATGGACTCTAAAAACGTCTTAATGCTGGATTAGTTTCAGCTTTTGTCTTCTCCAGATGTTAACTGATGGACTGGAGTGCTGTGGATTATTGTGATGTTTTTATCAGCTGTTTGGACTCTCATTCTGACGGCACCCATTCACTGCAGAGCATCCATTGCTGAGACACTGATGCAATGCTACATTTCTACAGACCTGATGAAGAAACAAACTCATCTACAGCTCGGATGGCCGGAGGTTGGGCACATTTTCAGCCAATTTTTGTTTACTAGTCGATTTTGAACATTTGCACATCCCTAATCAGTCACTATATGATTGCATCGGCACAGCCCGACTTACTTTCCAGTTCTCAGTCATGAAATGTTTTATAACGCTAATCTAATCAAAGTGGCGTTTCTGCAATTTCCACCATGATAGAGTTTCTCTAGTCTCTTTTTACTCCAAATGCGAAATATTTGGTGCTATAATAACTCAACTCAATTTTAAAATAAGATGGTTGTCTTATTTAATAGAGTTGAGCACAAGAGCGGTGTGTGAGAGCTCGTCTCTGTGTGTGTAGAGCATTGAGAAGCGCGTACAAAGAGCCATCTGTTAGCCGGACGCGAGCAGACTGTCCTCACATTTCCGCCGCTAGACCGTCAGTGTTCACAGCTCTCCATGAAGCTTTCATCAGCTGCTGTGAGTGTGTTCAGAGCTGACAGTGTCGTAATGAGATTTGCAGGAAGTGACCTCATCATTAAGCCTGAATGCTTCTCAAAACCCAAGGCAGCACAACTGTAACAGTTCACCCGACAGTTTGAAGTCTGTCATCATTTCCTCCCCCTCGTGTCGTTCCTAACCCGTGTGACTGATTTTGTAATGAGGCTGTTGAGTTCCAACAATGATGAGAACATCAGCATGAAAGTAGCTCATATATTTTGAGTCTTCTGAAGTCATGTGATTGCTATGTTTGAGGAACAGACTCAAATGTAAGTGTTATTCACTGAAAACGATTCACTTGATCTCTCTTGTGGTTGTGCTGCAGGCTCATTCAATTCAGATGTGTTGTGTTGGATTTGACATCAGTGAAAAGTTGAAACGGTTTCAAATGATGTTTGAAATAATGGACATGAAATCATTTTGGAATTGAACATTAGTGCAAACAAGATTTATGAGCTGCACGAAAGGGGAATATTTTAGGGCAGAACTGTTTTAAATTTAGTTTTGTGGACTTTATAAGACTCGGAATGTAGCGGAAGTCAAATAGACTGCATTTAATTATTTATTATTTAATTATTTTAATTAATTTTTCTTATTTGTATTTATTTTAGTTAATTTATTAAATTAAATTTCAATTCTTTAAATGTTTTTATATAAATTAATAATTAATTCATTATTTTAAATTATTCTTGATTTATTTTAAGTTGAATTATTTTAAATAATTGTATTTTAATTAATTATTTAAATGAATTTGAATTATTTTAAAGTATTATTGATTTATTAATGATTTTTTTGTTTATTTTAATTTAAATTGATTTCGATAAATTTTAATACATTTGTAATTCTAATTATTTTTTATTTATTTTAATTAAGTTCAAGTATTTTAATTGTTGTTTATTTTAATCAATTATTTACATTTATTTTAAGTAATTAATTAGAATAAAATGTCATTTATTATTATTATTTTTTATTTATTTAAATTATTTAACTTAATTATTTACATTTATTTTAATTAATATAGAATTTACTTTATAACCGCAGTCTGTATTATAAAAAAACATTCTAGAATTTATGCAATAAACCTCTTTTTGTGCTCCACAGAAGAAATAGTCATACAGATTTTAAATTACTTGAGGAGGAGTGATTTTTAATTTTTGGGTGCACTATCCTGTAGGATTTGTGACAACCTGTTCTTACCTGTCTGATAGGATCAGTGTAACCTGACAGCACCATTTGTGTGTGTGTGTGTGTGTCGCTCTCTCCTCCTGTTTAAAACACAAACGGCTGGTATGTGAGTGGTGTGAACTGCCAGGCACCCGCCGCTGTTTCTATTTTAACTGAGCAGCTCGTACTAGAAGAACATACCGCTCTTTTGTGAGGAAACGCAGACAGAGCGAGTGGAAAAACAGAGGAATGTTCTCTGATCCGATTCGTCTGAACATGCAGCCTGCGATTGAGCAGAATTATGCTTATAGTGGTTACTCTTGCTCAGAGTTAGGGTTAATGATTTGAAGAAAGCTCCATTTGAGCTACAGACACGAATGATTTTCTAAATTGTGTAGTTGAGTTACATTGAAAAAGAGACCTGAGCCGTATAGAGAGCAGAATAACACAGAGATGTGAAACAGGACTTATTTCACATCACATGAATACACATTAATACACAGACTCGAGTACTGCAGGTATATGCTGAGAATGACAGACTTGGTTTAGCTGCATCATGTTAAAATTACATCGGTGTGAGCTAATTTTGGGAGAAAAACGGTTAAACGTGGCCTGGAGTTTTCTAAGCGAGACCAAATTGGAGACGAACCAAACATGAAGTCATCTGGATGACAGCAGACCTGCTCGCAGGAGCATGATGCTGTGTGTGTGTGTCTGTGTCTGTGTCTGTGTCTGTGTCTGTGTCTGTGTCTGTGTCTGTGTCTGTGTCTCTGTGTCTCTGTGTCTCTGTGTGTGTGTGTGTGTGTGTGTGTGTGTGTGAGAGATTATCTGGAATGAAACACTGACTCACAGAAGTGGAAATGTTGAAATGAAGTCACATCAAACACACAACTAAGGAACCGAGAACTGTTATTTTGTACTTTCGGCCTGAGAGACTTAAATCAGTGTAATTATTGACTTGTTTATATGATGACGTGTCGTTAAAGATACAAATTCACAACAGTTTTGTTGCAATAAATGTACATTTTATATAAAGATCATTGCAAACGTGTGCATTGTGGACAATATAAATATAAAAAAATGTAAAAATGTAGTAAAGAGGACTCAAATTGTTTGATATAGCACAGAGGTTTCCACATTTTTAATAAATAGACATATTTATTTTTGGTATCTAAAATATTTTAATATATGCAGCTACTTTTATGAACACCGGATGTGATGACGGAAACGAATCATTGATTCTGAAGAAATTTTGAACTGCTTTTTTGAAGTGAATCAAACTTATCAAGTTTAATTGATTATTTATTTGCTTACCTGTTTGCTAATTTATTTATTATGAAAAAACATTCTAGAAATTATGCAATATATCTCCTTTTGTGCTGCACAGAAGAAATAAGTCATATATTCAGGAAATTAAACTTCCCAAGCTCTTGTGCTTTTCTATTTTATATTGGTTTATAGGTGTATTTTTTGTGTGTGTTCAACACAGGTGGGCAAAGAGACGGTTCAGACCACTGAGGATGCCATCATGAGGAGAGACATGCCGCCTGCCTTTATAAAGTGAGACACACACACACACACACACACACATACACACACACTGTTGAAGGTAAAGGTCATGGACAACAATTTAAGTGTGTGTGGTGCTGCGTGAATAATGGCGCTCTATATTTTTGTCTGCATCAGCCTTTTGTTTTGAATGAAAATCTATATGCAACAGCAACCCTGCAACTCTAACCTCCTCTTCTTTCATCTTATGTTGTTTTTTTAAATGCCATGGCTTTGATTCGCATGGAATGCATGAACTTATAAAATCAAATGCATGTCTTGCATGCAATGTTAGCCGCTTAGGATAAATGCACACATGTAAATTTAAATGCACATTCTTCTAGTTAACTCTGTTGTCTGTGAATGAGTGTGCATGTGTTGTTTGTTGAAGGAGGAAGTGCTCTAATGCAGGTGTGTTGATTATTAAATTAAACATGCTGGAGCAGCTGCGCTCATGCGCAAACACAACAGCACTAGAGCTCTTCTACATGTGTTACTGCCTCAGAACGCATACAGAGCCTCTGCATTACTCTTGAATTATGGAAAATAATTGTATAGATCATTCAGAATTATTGGTGTTGTTCAGTATATAGATTGTTCACACTGAAATTGATTTGCATCTACATACGAACCGGAGTTGTTCATTTTAAATGAGACTTGAGCATGTAACAATGTATCAAATGTTTGCATTACATCACTGCTCATTTGCATAAACAATTGTGCTCAACTTAAAGGTACAGTTCACCCAAGTGGTTCCAAACCCGTATGACACACACAAAAAAATAAATTTGAAATAATACATTAGTTAGTCTTTTGCACTCTTAAAATTGAGACTGGCACTTTTAAGATTCAAAAAGCACCATAAAAATATCATAACAATAGTCTAAGTCGTCTGGTCTTGCTGCTTTTGTCTCTTTGGTTGTATGTTGTCTTTAAAAATACTGGAACCCAATGATTTTCATGATACTGAATCTTCTCAAAGTCATTTCTTTTGTCTTATTCAACAAATGAATTGTGATTTTGTCCTTTAGGCTTGTGAGACTGGAGTTTTCAAGCTCAAACAGGACAAAAACACCATAAAAAAATCATAACAGTATTTCAGGTTTTCTAAAATCTTCAGTAATACTGATACTCTTCATCTCCAGTGGCATGTTAAGTGCTGTGAACAGATTGAATCAGTTCGATTCATGAACAAATCATTCAGAGATTCTATATAATTAATTAGTGATTCAGCTAAATGATTCAACTCCGTAAAATCCCTTCAAATCTCCAACTCTCATTGAAAATGAACAGCTTTCTGCTGATTGATCACTGCAGATGACTGTCAGTGCGAACGTCCCTTAGGATGCAGTCCAGCAGCTGGGAAATCTCCAGCGATTTACCCAAACATCTGTGTATCACAGTGCTGTTTAGGGAATAACTAAATAAAACAAAGCAGGAAATAGCTGACAATGTCCTGAACCTTGATGACATGCCACAGACATGCTGTTTTTGGGCTGTTTACTCAGACGTCGTGTCATTCTTGTGGTTGTGTTGTACTCAAACTTGATTTATTTGCAATAATGATATGTCACACAAGTCTGAAAACCTTTAGCTTTTCGCAGAGGTACAGACGAGACGCTCGTGCGCAGCTGCATTGATCCTGAAGCTGCTTTGAGTCATGCATGAATTCATTCTGCTGTGCTCAGATCCCTGAGTCAGGAGGAGCGGACGGATTACTGGAAACACTGACACACATAATGGACAGCCTGTGTTTCCCTCTAAATATAGTTTGTGTTCGTGTGTGGCCTGGTGCAGTAATGCTGATTAAAATACATATGCATTACTGTAGCCTACACACACACACACACACACACTGTTGTGACCTTGCTGTCCTGTCTCACACACACACAGCTGTGGTCTGTCCTGCCACAGAGAAATATGACACCAGTCTCCATTCTGCAACTACAACAAAACCCTCCTGACGACAGTCGGACACCGATGAATAGCACATGTGTGTGTGTGTCTGTGTGTTGTGGGAATTGGGGCCTAATAAGTCACTCCTACGTGATTTAGGGCTGCTGACTGTGAATAAAAAAGCATGCATGTGGGGCCGACAGTGTTGGGCAGTGACTAAAACTAAATCTATGAAAAATGAATACGATAAAGAATCAGAACTTGTAGTGCATATGATCTGTGCACACTGAAATTTCAACATTCGTTGATCTTTTGCATCCAGTTTTTATGCGTGCAAATGTAAACAGTAGGTTTTCTGTGATGTTCTGCATTGTTGTCGTTCCCATTTCTACTGATCTGTCACTGAGATAATGTTATCTAGCTGGTTGACATAGAGGAGGGTTTGTCATATTTGCAAAAATGACTTACATTGAATGTACTGAAAATTACAAACCAATCAGTAATGTTTTGCATTGTCTGCCTTTGTTTGCCTGCAAATGTGTTTATGAATTTGCATTATAGCTGTATACTTTCCAGATTCCTGATTATTTATTTTCGGTAAAGAAAAAAACTAATAAAAAAAAAGAAAAGTAAATAACTTTTAAAATATTTCCAATAAAATATTAGAATATTTCTAGGAAATGAATACACTACTGTTAACAAGTTTAGTAATCTTTTTTTATAAAGAAATTAATACTTTTATTCAGCAAGGATGCATTAAATTGCTCAAGTGTCATTAAACACATTAATAATGTTACAAACATTTATATTTCAAATAAATGCTGTTCTTTTGAACTTTCCCTTCATCAAACAATAAAAAATATATTTTCCACAAAACTATTGGGCAGCATGACATTGAAGACTGGAGTAATGATGCTGAAAATTCAGCTTTGAATATTTTTTTTAATGCAAATAATAATTACAATTATTTATTTATATAGTTACAATTATTTATTATTAAATTATTTAAATATTTCTAGGAAATATAAATATGCTGCTGTTAAAATGTTTAGTACTGTTAAAATGTTTTTTTTTTTATTAATACTTTTATTCAGCAAGGATGCATTAAATGTTAAAATATTTAAAATGTTAAAAAAGATTTCTATTTCAGATAAATGTCGTTCTTTTGAACTTTCAATTTATCAAATAATCCTGAGTTAGTGCTTAATGCTTTGTGTTGCATCTGATTTCTTTACTTATTTATTTATTTAGATGGTTTTGCTTCTATGATTATAATTATGATGCTTCCTTATGTAATTTTATTCATTTCACACCATTTGCTCATAATCTGTTTTTAAACTGTATTAGGTTTTACATTTACTTTAGGGCTTTGGGAAAGGCATTGTAGTTATACTTTCCAGATTGTTGTATTTTTCCTTTTAGTAAAGAAAAAATTAAAAAATTAATAAATAATATTTATATTAAAATATTTCTAGTACATGTAAATATTAATACACTACACTACACTACTGTTCGAGGGTTCAGTAAGGTTTTTTTTTTTTAAAGAAATTAATAATTTTGTTCACCAGGGATGCATTAAATTGATGAAAAGTTGCAGTAAAGACATGTATAATGTTACAAAAGATTTCCAAGTAAATGCTGTTCTTTTGAACATCCTGCGTTATCGCCTAATGCTTTGTCACCATGTTGCATCAGGTTTTTTTTTTGTGTGTGTTATGCTGCTTTTATTTATTTTACTAGATTTGCTCATCTCTCATTCTGTTTCTGATTTGTCTTGTGTTCACATACATTTTTTGGCTTTATTAAGTGATCTTGAGTGGTGCTATTGGTTAGTATGCAGCTTTTAGACTAAACTGGTCAATCAGTAAAAGCGTCACACGTCTGACTGTATTTGCTTCCACAGGCATGACGAAGATGGCCAAGATGATTGACGAGCGGCAGCAGGAATTAACTCATCAGGAGCACAGAGTCATGCTGGTTAACTCCATGAACACCGTCAAGGAGCTGCTGCCCGTTCTCATCTCAGGTCTGATCCGACCTCTGACCTCGCAGATCTAGAGAAACTAATACTTTCATTCAGCAAGGACGCATTCAATTGATCAGAAGTGACAGAAGAGACATTTATAATGTTACGAAAGATTTCTATTCCATATATAAATGCTGTTCTTTTGAACTTTCTATTCATCAAAGAATGAAGAATTTCCTCAAGAATATTGGGCAGCACGACTGTTTTCAACATTGATAATAATCAGAAATGTTTTTCGAGCAGCAGATCAGCATATTATACTGATTTCTGAAGATCATGTGACACTGAAGACTGCAGTAATGATGCTGAAAATACAGCTGCGCATCACAGGAATACATTACAGCTTAACAGATATTCACATAGAAAACAGCTGTTTGAAATTATAATAATATTTCACAATTTTTACTGTATTTTTGATCAAATAAATGCAGCCTTGGTGAGCAGAACTTATCTGTTGATGTCTCACATAGGCATCAAGATCTTCGTAACGACCAGGACGTCTCAGGGTAAAGGTGTGGAGGAGGCCCTGAAGAACAGGAACTTCACCGTGGAGAAGATGAGCGCAGAAATCAATGAAATCATCCGCGTGCTGCAGCTCACGTCCTGGGACGAGGATGCCTGGGCCAGTAAGGTGTGTGAGAGGGCAAAGGTCACGGTGTCTTCATGTGCATGCAGGATGAACCCACCTCACAAACACACACCGCGCAGTTTACTGTCTGCTCTCACGCTTTATGATGTTTATAACACATTATACATCACACATGCATGCATATGCAATCTAGTGTTGGTTTGAGCATGAAAATATATTACAAATGTATTTTTAAGTCTAGATTTGAAGGGTGAAGTGTGTAATGTGAGCTACTCTGTTTGGTGTTTGCAAATATAGGTGTGTGTGTGTGTGTGTGTGTGTGTGTGTGTTGAGCTGGCTTCAGGTTCTCTGGCTGGATTTTGCAGTAGATCTGAAGTAAATCCTGAGATTTTGGCTGGAAACGGCATGTGCAAATAATAACAAGTCCATCTAGAAGTCCATCCAGATCACTTTTAGACTAAAAAAATTCATTGGAAATTAAGTTTTTGGCCTCAAAGTTTGTTGCTTTTTGCTCACTTGTTCTGGAAAGAGTGAAAACAGTTTAACAGTTTTGGGAATGAATGTGCTGTAGAAGCTGCGGGGCTGATGCAGGATTGCATGCATGGAAATATCAGCATATCAGTATGAACCAGTCTCACGAAAACTTAAGATTTTTCTTAAAGAAACCGAAGTATGTTTTAGGACTATCAAGATGTTATGCATTGTTACAATGGAAAAAAGAAAAACATTTTTATTAGAGTTTTGAGTTTTTATTTTTATTTAATAGCTTTTTATTTTAAATTAAAATAAAGTGTGTGTGGTTTTTTTTTGCATTACACAACATGCAGGGGAAATACAGTCTAAATGTGAATATAATAATTGTATTTTATATAAATATCAAAAATATAAATAATAGAATTGTATGCATTGTGACAATTATTGCAATGAAAGTTAAGCATATTTTCCTCAAATCTTCAGTACTGTTATGTGTAAAAAGAAAGAAAAAAAAGAGTATTTTTATTATCTTAATATGTCTGGACATTTTAGTTTTGAGTTTCTTTGTAATTATAATATATAATCATTTTTATGTAATGAATTTACACTAAAGTGACTATTAATAAATATATATATAAATGTAAAATATAAATAATATCACAATGCTAAAAATCTTAACAGCTCTAAAATAGGCTTCATTTTCTTTAAACATGGAATACGGATGAGATTTTGTGAGATGAAATATTGTGAGATTTGCTGATGTGTTTTGGGGAAGTGAGTGTTTGAGGTTGAAGGTTAATGCTTTCAGATGTGGGTTTTGTGAGAGCTAGGCTCTGTGTTTTTATTTCTTTCTTTATTTCTCTTGTCTCTCAGTGGATCTTTTCGCTCGTTCTTGTTCAAATGTGTGCTCTGTTTCTCCTCTCTTGGTTTGTTTTCCTCCCGCTGTAGAAGGTAAGGATCTGTGCGCATGCTCTCTCTGTGTGTTAGCAGGTTTGCGCTCGGCTCGACTCGCTTACATGTGATGATTGGATTTGGAGCGAAGAGACAGCTCGTGTGTGATGCTAACCGAATAGAGCTGCTCGCGGAGAAATACGCAGATCTCACACGTTTGTCTCGCTTTTCTTTTCAGAATCGCCATCACAGAAATAAAACGTTTCCTTTTCCAGCATCAAGTCATCTAAAATATGAAAAAAATATAAATATTTTAAATGACATTGAGTATTTAGGGATGCATTGTTGTAGAAATTATTTTTTCTAATTTATTTATGTTATTATAGTAGTTTAATTATTTTGTTATAAGGGATAACCAATATAGCGGTTCATATGCTCACCAAGGCTGCATTTATTTGATCAAAAGTACAGTAAAAATGTGAAATATTATTAGAATTTCAAATAGCTGTTTTCTATGTGAATCTATGTAAAACTGTAATTTATTGCTGTGATCAAAGCTGTATTTTCAGCATCATTCCTCCAGTCTTCAGTGTCACATGATCTTCAGAAATCAGTATAATATGCTGATTTGCTGCTCGAGAAACATTTCTGATTATTACCAATGTTGAAAACAGTTGTGCTGCACAATATTTTTGTGGAAACTGTGATAGATTTAAATTTTTAGGATTCTTTGATGAACAGAGGGTTAAAAGAACAACGTTTATTTGAAATAGAAAACTTTTACTGTCACTTTTGATCATTTTAATGCATCCTTTCTGAATAAAAATATTTCTTAAAAAAAAGATACTATTTATTAAAAAATGATATATAAAATAATATAATTTATTAACAAAATGATATGCATTTTTATGCATTTAAATAATTTAAAATAATATATAACACACAGAAATGATTGATAACTGTACATGATTTAACTCTTTTGACGCTTAATAAAAAATATTAGGCAAAAATATTATATGAATTCTGCTGATTTAACGCTGGAGAAGGAAGCAGAGGTTTGTCAGGGCCGCTGGACTCACTGATGGCTCTGTTTAATGTTTAACATGTCTCTGTCCTGCTGTAATGTGAGCAGCACTTTAGGTTCTCGTGTGTGTGTGTGTGTGTGTGTGTGTGTGTTTAATCTTGTATTGCTCTGATATGAAGTGTTATAAATACTGTGTGTGAATGCAGGCTCTCTCACTGCAAGTACTCACTGTAATAATAATATAAAGCTCTAATATTGTCAGAATGAAGTGTGAATAACCTGAGCTGACCAGCTTTGGTCATTTCCTGTCTTCCCACCTCCTTCTCTACATCATTTCCTGTCTCCTATTTGTAGCTGTTAAAAAAGCTGCTTAAACCAGCTCAAGGTGGTTTTCCGGTCCCACAGTCTCTCTAAAGACCAGCTGAGACCAGAAAACCACCTGGTTTTAGACTGGACACAGACAATACATAGTCTGGGTTTGAGAAGAGCCTGAGTGGAAACGGCTGACAGCGCGTGTGTGTGTGTGTGTGTGTGTGTTGAGTGTGTTTCATCATGAGAGGAACTGTCAGGTTTATGGCTTTGACTCTGATGTTGCAGAAGTGTTAAACAGCTCACCTCTGAGGACTCTGATGTGATGTGATGCTTTGACATGGACCATCAGTATCATTGCACCATCAGCCTCAGTATCACTGAATAAATCACAAGGCCGTTTTTCTGTTTAATTACATATCGTGAGTGTGTGTGTGAGTGTGTGTGAGTGTGTAAGTGTGTGTGTGTGTGTGTGTGTGTGTGTGTGTGTTGAGTGTGTTTCATCATGAGAGGAACTGTGAGGTTTATGGCTTTGAGTCTGATGTTGCAGAAGTGTTAAACGGCTCACCTCTGAGGACTCTGATGTGATGTGATGCTTTGACATGGACCATCAGTATCATTGCACCATCAGCCTCAGTATCACTGAATAAATCACAAGGCCGTTTTTCTGTTTAATTACATATCGTGAGTGTGTGTGTGTGTGTGAGTGTGTAAATGTGTGTGTGTGTGTGTGTGTGTGACCAGTGTGTGTGTGTAAATGTGTGTGTCTGTGTCTGTGTGTGTGAGAGAGTGTGTGTGTGTGTGTGAGTGTTTTATCTGCTGTGATGACAAACTGTGTGAGTCAACTTTAGGAAGCAGCAGCTGACGAATGTTTTAACCAAAAAAGGACATACTACTACTGACTCTCTCTCTCTCTCTCTCTCTCTCTCTCTCTCTATGCTCACACACGCTCACTCTCTCTCTCTCTCTCTCTCTCTCTCTCTCTCTCTCTCTCTCTCTCTCTCTCTCTCTCTCTCTGTTCTGTTCAGTTCACTCTCAACTCACTACTTTAGTAAATTCAGTTCAGTTCTGTTCAGTTTGCTTATTATTAATGATTAATTATTATTAATGAAAAATGCTTTTGCAAACTACTGTTCACACATAGTTTAATGCTCATTTTTATTTATTCATTTTTAGCTGATAGCAAAGTTTTCTACATTTTATTTTATATATATTTTTTACTTTATTTTACTTTATTTAGTTTTTAATTTAGTTTTTCTCTCTCTCTCTCTCTCTCTCTCTCTCTCTCTCTCTCTCTCTCTGTTCTGTTCAGTTCACTCTCAACTCACTACTTTAGTAAATTCAGTTCAGTTCTGTTCAGTTTGCTTATTATTAATGATTAATTATTATTAATGAAAAATGCTTTTGCAAACTACTGTTCACACATAGTTTAATGTTCATTTTTATTTATTCATTTTTAGCTGATAGCAAAGTTTTCTACATTTTATTTTATATATATTTTTTACTTTATTTTACTTTATTTAGTTTTTAATTTAGTTTTCAATAGAACAGGGGTGGCGAACGTCGGTCCTGGCGAGCCGCAGCCCTGCAGAGTTTTGTTATTAGGAAGCTACAGGCAGGTGAGTTTTAATTAGGGTTAGAGCTGAACTCTGCAGGGCTGCGGCTCTCCAGGACCGGAGTTCGCCACCGCTGCAATAGAACATATTTTTATTCAATATTTAGTTAAATTTTATTTTAATTATGTAATTTATTAGAATGTATTTATTAATAAATTGAAATATAATTGTATAAATATTGATATATAAATATTATATAAATTGTATTTTTTTTTTTTTATAAATTGAGTTTCTAGTAGATTATTTGTAGATTATTAGAGTTTATATGTATAACATATAAAAATATAAGACACTTGTCACTGGCCATTCTCTATCATCTTCATACTAAGGATAAGAAAAGCAAATGTCGAGCTAAATTGACATAAAAATTACATTAACTGTGATCTGACCGAAGTCACATCAGATCAGAATTTAAAATATTAGATTCATTCTGATATTTCTTTTTCTCTCTTCACACTGTCACTCAAATACAGATTTGTCACATTAAAGTGGAAAATATCAAATTAGTTTATGAATGCAGACTTTAAATAAATTATTTTATATATAATTATAATTTCTTGTAATGTTATTATAATGTTATAATTTCTTATAATGTTATAATCTGTGAAATATATGGAATTTGTGTATGAATGCAGACTGAGAAGTTCACTGAGGTCGTATCTATTAATAAATCACACAGACAACTGACAAAATAACTCCACACACACACACACACACACACACACACACGATACAGAACATCATCAGCACGTCCTGATGTCAGATGTAAGGTGTCTGTGTTAATCTGCTGCAGGACTGTGTGTTTGATGTTGTGGACGTGGTTTGCAGGACACAGAGGCTATGAAGAGAGCGCTGGCTCTGATCGACTCCAAAATGGCCCAAGCCAAGAACTGGCTCCGAGACCCGCACAGCCAGCCAGGTACTTTAAGGAAAAATGTGTCAAATAATCAGATGAGAAAAAAGACGTTGAGAGTCACAGATGGCTGTTTGCTGATGCTGTGTCGTCGCAGGTGACCCGGGCGAACAAGCCATTCGCCAGATCCTGGACGAGGCGGGAAAAGTTGGCGAACTCTGCGCTGGGAAGGAGAGACGAGACATCGTGGGAACGGCCAAAACGCTTGGACAACTTACTGAGCAGGTGTCTGAGCTGCGGGCCAGGTATTAAAATCCAGATATTTTATTTTATTTTATTTTATTTTATTTTATTCTGAGCTGCGGGCCAGGTATTAAAATCCAGATATTTTATTTTATTTTATTTTATTTTATTTTATTTTATTTTATTTTATTTTATTTTATTTTATTTTATTTTATTTTATTTTATTTTATTTTATTTTATTTTATTTTATTTTATTTTATTTTATTTTATTTTATTTTATTTTATTTTATTTTATTTTATTTTATTTTATTTTATTTTATTTTATTTTATTTTATTTTATTTTATTTTATTTTATTTTATTTTATTTTATTTTATTTTATTTTATTTTATTTTGAAAACCAAGGTTGAAATATATATGTATATATATGAATGTAAAATATATATGTATTGTGGCTATGGTGTAATGATTAATGTATTTTTATATACATTTATAAACATTATATACAATATAATTAAAATGTCCATGTAGGTTGAACACTTTCAGTGATTAGTCATCCAAAAGGAAAGTTTAGATTCGAGAAAACCTGAGTCACAGAGTCACAGCTCGCATCAGGTTTTCTCCCGGTCGTCTTATTAAAAGCAGCTGACTAATATTACCCATAATCCTCTTAAACCCCATTTTCCATCTCTGCTGGGAAATTGCTGTGCTGCTCGTCTAAATCTTGACTTTTTAATTAAAAATAATATAAAAAATGTATGCTTAATCTTTTAAAATAAAAAATATTAAAATATTTACTTTTAAATATTGATTATGATGAATTATATTCAAAACATTTGTGTTTTTTTACAAAAGTAATACTAAAATTATTTACAATTATGTATTTTTATTTTTAAAAGATAATATTAAAAATATTTGTTTTAATATTTTAATAAAAAATATTGAAAATAGTGGTTTCTATATTGTTTATCAGATATAATATAAAAAATATTTACAATTAATTTTTTCATCAAAATAGTAAATGTATGTCTAAATATTTAAATAAAAAATAATATAAAAATAGTTAGCTTGAAGTAGTTTGTTTATCAAAGATAATATAGTTTTTTGGCAAAAATAATATCTAAAATATTTAATAAAATAATATGAAATATATGTAAGTATTTTTATCATAAATAATATTTAAACAAATGTTTACGTATTGTTTATCAAAATTATATTAAAAATATTTTAGTTTTTTTACAGAAATAATACAAAAATATTTATAGAATTAAATATTTTGATTGTCAAGGATAATATTAAAAAATATTTGTTTCTATATTGTTTATCAAAAATAATTGTAAAAATATTTACATTTAAACAGTTTTAGCAAAATTTATGTGCAATTTCTGTATATATTTTTTATTAATAATAATATAAAAAATAATTATATATTAAAAATATTTGTTTAAATATTGTGTTTCAGAAATAATATTAAAAGTAGTTATTTTTAAATATTTTTGTGTATATGTCAAAATAATATAAAAATATTTTTATACAATTTCAATTGTATGCTGCATTTTTAAAGCAATTTGATTACATTCGGTCCTGTTAGTGGAGAAGAAGGAATAACATCAGTGACACAAAACCAGAAGTTCATCCAATTTCAAAAGCTTGCTGGTATGAAAGCTTGATCATATTTGGGATGCGAGAGGTGTTTTTCATTGTGTTTGACGTGTGTGTCCTGCGCAGGGGTCAGGGAGCGAGTCCGGTGGCCATGCAGAAAGCACAGCAGGTGTCTCAGGGTCTGGACGTCCTGACGGGGAAAGTGGAAAATGCGGCACGTAAACTGGAGGCCATGACCGGCTCGAAACAAGCCATCGCCAAGAGAACCGACGCCGCTCAGGTGAGCCTGCCGCCTTGTCTGGATGAATCACACAGCTGTCTAAGCTTCGTTCTGAACGCCGTTCGTGTTTTGTGAACGGCAGAGCTGGCTGGCGGATCCTCACGGCGGTCCGGAGGGAGAGGAGAACATCAGGGCTCTTCTGGGAGAATCCAGGAAGATCGCGGATCTCTGCGAAGATCCCAAGGAGCGAGAGGACATCCTGCGCAGCATGGGCGAGATCGCCGGCCTCACCGCCAAACTCTCCGAGCTCAAGAAAGCGTACGTATCTCTCAGCATCTTGACTTTGAGTAGGGCTTTGTGGCGATTCTTGGCCTGGATCTTTGGAATATTAGCAGGATGTTCCGTGAGGAATCCCGGTTTCCATTGTTTGACTGTTTGGCGGTAGCTAAGCAACGGCTGTTCGGAAGTTCTGCACATTTTTTGAGTCAGATGAGCTGCTGCGTGTGTTTCTGCACTTATTTCACAGATGTAACTGAACTCGTGGGCTTAATCTAGTTTACTTGTTGAAAAGTGCCTCAAAAAAAGCATCTTTTGAAGATTTGATGGCACTAATCCTGGCAAACGAATCCGTCCTGTTTCAGCTTGGCTTTAGTTTCTTTTTCAGACTGATTAAAATCACCTGCAATGCAAACTTGTCACATTATGTCAAAAACCGCTGTTTCGTAATGAGAATCTCATTAAATAAATCTGCTGTCTACAAAAGAGGAGCTTTTGTAGATTTCTGCCAAAATAAAAGCTCCGTGGCATGATGTTTGAATGCAAAGAACTTAAGACGGCAATAAATATTAGCTTTGTAATTTTAAAGTTCTGTAAATAAAATAAATAATAATACTAATACCTTTTTTTATTTATTTATTTATTAATTTTTTTACTCTACAATAATATTATTACTAGTAGTTTGGAACATTTCTTTATTTAATTTATATATAAATATATACACACTATCAGTCAAAAGTTTTTTTTAAAGAAGTGTCTTCTGCTCATCAAAGCTGCATTTATTTGATCAAAAATACAGTAAAAAACAGTAATCTTGCAAAATGTTATTACAATATAAAATAATGGTTTCTATTTTAATATCCTTTAAAATCTAATTTATTTCTGTGATGCGCAGCTGTATTTTCAGCATCATTACTCCAGTATAAAGTGTCATGTGATCTTCAGAAATCATAATAATATGCTGATTTATTATTAGAATTATCAACAGTTGTGCTGACAAATATTTTTTTGGAAACTGCGATACTTTTCAGGATTCTTTGATGAATAAAAAGTTAAAAAGTTTTTCTAACAATATAAATCTTTGCTATCGCTTCTTAACAATCTAACACATCCTCGCCGAATAAAAGTTTTCATTTCTTTCAAAAGAAGAAAGAATATAAATGTACCGACCCCAAACTTTTGAACAGTAGTGTATATTGTTAGAAAAGATTTCTATTTTAAATAAATGCTCTTCTTTTTAACTTTTTATTCATCAAAGAATCCTGAAAAAAGTATCACAGCTTCCAAAAAAATATTAAGCAGCAACAGTTTCAACACTGATAATAAATCAGCATATTATACTGATTTCTGAAGATCATGTGACACTGAAGACTGCAGTAATGATGCTGAAAATACAGCTTTACGTCACAGGAATAAATTCGATTTGAATGTATATTAAAATAGAAAAACCTGTGTCTCTGTGTCTGTGTATCTGTGTGTGTGTGTCTGTGCGCGCGCGCGCGTGTGTGTGTGTGTGTGTGTGTGTGTGTGTGTGTGTGTGTTCAGTGGTAAGGGCGACACTCCTGAGGCTCGAGCGCTGGCGAAGCAGATGGCCACAGCTCTGCAGAACCTCCAGTCCAAAACCAGCAAAGCAGTGGCCAACACTCGGCCCGCCAAAGCGGCCGTTCACCTGGAGGGGAAGATGGAGCAGGCGCAGAGATGGATCGACAACCCCTCGCTGGATGACAGCGGTGTCGGTGCGGCTCTCATCCCGCTCTCTTTCATACTCCAGTGAAACGGATCTCCTTTGCATTAGGGGTTGTGTGTTTGTGATTGTAGGTCAGGCTGCGATCCGTGGGCTGGTCGCCGAGGGCCGTCGTCTGGCCAATGCGCTGCCAGCGTCACAGAGGCAGGGGCTGCTGGGTAAATGTGAGGAGGTGGAGCACCTGATGGGGCAGTTAGCCGAGCTAGCGGCCCGCGGGGAGGCAGACGGTCCTCAGGCCCGCGCCATCGCTCAGCAGCTGCAGGACACACTCAAAGTACGTTATGCTCACCTCCCCGCTTCAGCCAGCCCTCCAGAAACAACATTCAGAAATATTCTCATGTTCTCACAAACATCTCAAGCATGAGCTCATTAGCACATCATTCACAAACACATGATCAGTTCTCATTGACTTAATAAATGACAGAGTGAACTTCACCTGCTTACACTGAGGTTAGCCAATCATAACAGAGCTATTATTTATATATACTGCTATAAATAAGCTTGAACAAGCTTTTATTTTTATATTTTAATTTTTATTTTAATTTTGTAATTTTATGTGCTTTTGTTATTTTTATTTTCTTTGTAATACATTTCTTCTAATAACTTTTCGGCCCGCGCCATCGCTCAGCAGCTGCAGGACACACTCAAAGTACGTTATGCTCACCTCCCCGCTTCAGCCAGCCCTCCAGAAACAACATTCAGAAATATTCTCATGTTCTCACAAACATCTCAAGCATGAGCTCATTAGCACATCATTCACAAACACATGATCAGTTCTCATTGACTTGATAAATGACAGAGTGAACTTCACCTGCTTACACTGAGGTTAGCCAATCATAACAGAGCTATTATTTATATATACTGCTATAAATAAGCTTGAACAAGCTTTTATTTTTATATTTTAATTTTTCTTTTAATTTTGTATGTGCTTTTGTTATTTTTATTTTCTTTGTAATACATTTCTTCTAATAACTTTTCTGTTTGTAATTATTTTTTTTTTAAATATTTTCTTTTATATAATTATTATTCTGTAAAAAAAAAAAAGTTAAGTGCAGAAAATAGTCCCGTTTATGTACATGCAAATACACAACTATCACTATTTTTAAACAAATAAATGTGATAAATGCATGGCAAGCAAAGTCATATTCAATATCACACATGCACAACGATACAGTAAAGAGCTCCACCTGCTGGTGAGGGAATATAAATCTTCCTCTCGAGACCAACAGCATCATGTGATATTTCACAAATTCTATACATTACCATTCAAAGGTTTGTGGAAATTAATACTTTTATTCAGCAAGGATGCATTAAAGTGATCAAATGCGGCAGTAAAGACATTTATAATGTTAGGGTCTGATATCTTCAGTGACACGACTACGCCGGTCAAACTCTTGGCAGTGGCAGCAACGACTCCTCCAGACGCGCCCAACAGAGAGGAGGTGCCACACCATCACAGACACACACTAATGCTGCCGTCAAATCATCTTCCTCTGTGTGATGGATAATGTGTGTGTGATCAGGTGTTCGAGGAGCGGGCTGCAAACTTTGAGAATCACTCGGGTCGTCTGGGAGCCACGGCGGAGAAAGCAGCTGCAGTCGGCACGGCCAACAAGAGCACGGTGGAGGGAATCCAGACGGCCGTCAAATCAGCCAGAGATCTGACGCCGCAGGTAACAGAAACACCGTTCACACGAGACCGAGGCTGGTGGAAAATTGACTGTACATAAGTGTGATTTTTAAAAAATGTTTTCGTCAGGTCGTCTCTGCAGCTCGCATCCTCCTGAAGAATCCTGGAAACCAGGCGGCTTACGAACACTTTGAGACCATGAAGAATCAGTGGATCGACAATGTCGAGAAAATGACAGGTGACAAACTTCTGTCTGATGTTCATATTTTTACTGATTTCATTTTTATTTTATTTTTTTATATATTGTTTATTTTCTTTCTTTTTTTAAAGACAGGATGCTATATATCGATCTATGTAATGAATTTTTCACTTATTGAATTTTAATTTAATTTAATTTACATTTTATATTATTCTATCTATCTATCTATGTATTGTTTATATTTTTATTTAATTTATTTTATATTTTTATTTAGTTTTATTTTCAGTAAATATCTTTTTATGTCAGACAAGATGTTATCTATCGATCTAATGTATTTATTTTTACTTATATAATTTTAATTGAATTAAATTTTGTTTTAGTTAAAATTTTTATTGATTTAATTTTTTTAATTTAATTAAATTTTTAGTACATATATTTTTATGTCAGACAGGATCTAATGTATTTATTTCATTTTTATTTCATTTAACATTTTATTTTTTAATATTTTAGTTTATTTTATTATCCGTAATTATCAGACGGGATGCCAGCAGTACTCGACCCACAAATGGTTATTTTGTCCAGAAAACTATCAGAGATCAATGAAAAAAATTGTTACAGTATTTGACAAAGATCAAAATAAATTAGAAAAAAAAATAATGTGGAAAAAATACAATAAAAATAGGTTGAAATCACAATGTTTGTCTTAGTAGTTCTCTCTGAATGGGGACAATGTTTACTTTTTTCATTTGCATAAATCATCTACAGTAACTGTATGAACAAATCTCAACTCTCTCTCTCTGTCTCTCAGGTCTGGTGGATGAAGCGATCGACACCAGGTCTCTGTTGTATGCATCAGAAGAAGCCATTAAGAAAGATCTGGACAAGTGTCAGGTAGCTATGGCCAATCACCAGCCTCAGATGCTGGTCGCCGGGGCAACCAGCATCGCCCGGCGAGCCAATCGGATCCTGCTGGTGGCGAAGCGAGAGGTGGAGAACTCAGAGGACCCGAAGTTCAGAGAGACCGTGAAAGCGGCGTCTGACGAGCTCAGCAGGACCATCTCACCGATGGTCATGGACGCCAAGGCCGTGGCCGCCAACATACAGGACCAAGGTGAGACACACAACTGCATAGCAACCATCCACAGCACCCAGCATCATTATCACATAGGCTAGCGTCACTCATATATATATATATTAGTGCACTTTTAAAGATCTGCCGGAAGAGTTGTTGGTTGAAAGTAGGGCTGCATGTCATGGGGAAAATATCTAATTGTGATTTATCCGATTAAAAAATGTTTTTCAATTTCAAATGCAATTTTATTTGGCTTTACAATTTGGCCCAAATTTTTGTGATTTATATATAAATATGACTATAAAAGTTTTTATTTAACTTATTATAACTTCTTATTTATTATTACTACTACTACTACTAAATAAAAATATTAAACAAAATAATAACTATTACTATTGTAATATTTCACTGTTATGCTTGTTTATATGATATAATTTAACCAAAAATTTTGTGATTTATTATAAATATGACTATAAAATTATCAATAATAATATTAATACTTATTATTATTATTATTATTATTATTATTTCTAAATAAAATTTGATTACATGATTGTAGGGATTCATAATTTGGCCAACAATTTTGTGATTTATATATTGACATGATTATAAAATTGTTATTATTATTATTACTAACAAATAAAAAATAAAACTAACAAACAAAAAAATATTACTATTATTATTATTATTACTAACAAAATGTTTAATGTATGTTTTTAGAGCTTCACAATTTGGCAAAAAAAACTTGTGATTTATATGAAAATATGACTATAAAATTATCTGTTGTTATTAGTAGTAGTATTACTTAATATTACAAATATTAAACAAAATAAGAAATATTGCTATTGTAATATTTCGCTGCTGTACATGTTTGTAAGGCTTCACAATTTGGAAAAAATGTGGTTTATAAAAAATTACAAAAATATTATAATATTTTTACCAACTATAAAAAATATTATTACTGCTACTAAATACAAAATTAAACAAAATAAAAATAGCTGTTTGTTACATTTCACTGTAAAAGAAAAAAAATAGTATTTTTTTGGGGGGGGGGGGGGGGGGTAAAATTAGAATATTCATGTTTATGACTTTCTTAATTTATTAATTTTTAATCGTTAAACCTACAAGTCTCAAGATGGTTGGAGCCGGTCGTGTTCTCAAATACACGTGAAAGCAGTGGAGCAGCATTTCCTGCCGCTCTGAGATGCTGAAAACACCGGATCATGAGCTGCCGGCGTGTACATGAACACAGTGCCGCGCTTCACTCTGAAACACATCGCATATATTTATTTAATTCAATCGCAGCCTTAAAGCCTTTCCACACTGAGCGCGAAAAAGTGAAACGAATATCGGATGCGATGACGCACTGGAATAAAACAATACATTTCTATGGATGCTTCCACATAGACCGTGAACACTGGCGCACCGAAAATGCAGATGTTTTTTTCCGCACCAGTCCGACGAATCTTTTCAGTTTCGCAAAGCAAAAACACGGGCCGTCCAATAAGATTTGAGCTAGGATCACCTGACCGGAGCAGCTGCTGTTGCACAAAAGGATAAGAGTGGTGGCGCTGTTTCGAAAACCAGTGAAAACAAACAGAAAAAGAGTGTCTAAGGGATGCTGAGTTCTTGTTATCGTTGGTATTTGAGAATAGATTTATTCTCGCATGTTCTTTATACAGAATAACATTTCTAATAATTCTTCACTGAATCATGTGATCTGGAGAGCACCGTGCGCGAGTGTTATGAGTCCGAGCACGTTCACTCTCTAGTCTAGATCTTCCGTATTAAAAAAATCGAGTGAAACATTTTTCTACACATGAAATATGAAAGCAAATAGACAAATGATTATGACGATATATTTTCTGTATGTGTTTTGTATGCAGCTCATGGTATATATATTTTTTATAGCAATAAAGGATGTTTATGACAAATATTAGCAGTGTAGCTTTATTAAACATACAAAGAGTGCATGTGTCTGCTTATTATAGAATCAACTATAAATCACAATCGGAGGTTATTACAAGCAGTCGATGATGGTTTAAAGTGGGTAAGCAAATAAATGTTCAAGTGTAGCTTGATGCTAATTGTACTTCTAATTATATTTTAGGATGTAGCCTATTCTTGTAAGCATTATAGATAGTTTGAGTTTCTGGTGTAGAGCCATCTTTATTTAGATGTTAAATCCATTTACAAGATATAGTGTTGTCAAAAGACCCGGTACTTCGGTACCAAGTCGGTACTAAAAAAATGAAAACGTTACGGTACCAGGTGTTTTTAAGTACCGGTGGTACCGAGTACCCGGTCAACCCGGTTCTTGATGCGCTATCCGAAAGCTGCGCAGATGCGCTCTCGTCATAAAAGCACTGAGACGTGGCGACATCAAAATGAGGAAACACACCAAACTAACAAAACACTTTAAAGACAGACACCCAGATCAAATGAAAGGGTTCAAGCAGGTAAGTTTCATTTTAATTTGTAATATTTAGATCTTGTGTTTCCTATACATTGATTTATTTGAGGTGCCCGCCACAATATCAAAACTGACCTCACAAATAGATTTTCCAAAAGGCTTTGACTTCGTTGAATAAACATGAGCACTGCACGTGTCAAAGTCTAAACCCGGTGCGGGTGTTTTTATATCTCTGTATTTCTGAAGGAAACCGACTGTCTTCAGAAAATTATGGATGTCATTTTCAGCCTTTAGCGGGGAAACCTCGATCTCTTCTGCTCTACAAGCGCCTCCTGCTGGCAGAGAATGAATTTGCATATATATGTCGCCACAAATAGAGTGCAAGTCTGCAAGTCATAACCGCTTCAGTTATGAATATTATTCAATATTTTAATTTGAATGTCTGACTGAAATGATGCTGTTATTAGAGTAGTTAATCATTAGCATAAGCGCGGCTAACACTAATATAATGAGCATTAGAATGAAGTTTCTTTATTAACTATTTAATGCACCTATAACTTTTATTAGAGTAAAAAAAAAACAGGAGGACATGATGATACAGTATTTACTATTTTTACACACCAGAGGCTTTTACATGAATTGAGAATCTAAAATATGCGTGTTGGATAATGTACAAATGGTTAACACGGTTTGTGTCATATCAGTCAGAAAAGCAGGGCTTCCTTTTTTTTTTTTTAGCTAACTTAGTTGTTATTCTTGGCTGAATAACTCTAGAAGGTTTTCAAAAGCCCTTTAAAATTAAATATGTACACAGTTTGGATTAAATGAACGTATAGTTAAATTTTTTAATTAGCATGTTTTTGTGTTTTGCTTTGGTACAGAAATTGGTACCGAGATCCGTGGATTTTCACTGGTATTGGTACCGAATACTAAAATTTTGGTACAGTGACAACACTAACGAGATACATATCTGAGGAAAAATGCATTGTTGGTCGGCGCCACCTAGTGTGCAGGCGTGAATTAGCAGAAGACGATCAATCGTTTCGCACTCGGTGTGAAAGCACCGTTCTTCGGCGATTCGCATCGCGCTCAGTGTGGAAAGGCCTTTAGTTGAACCTGTGCCCATTGTCTTCCTGGTCAGGCCTTCAGAGGGGCTTCCTGGACTCGGGTTATAAGATCCTGGGTGCCGTGGCTAAAGTCCAGGAGGCATTCCAGCCGCAGGAGCCGGACTTCCCTCCTCCACCTCCAGACCTGGAGCACCTGCAGGTCAGATTCACCGTAGACTCCCGCAGCTGCATGTATTTACTGCACCAGCACGGTTTTAATCACCAGTCCCGGTTCTCCTTCAGATAAGCGACAACGCCGCCCCTCCAAAACCTCCGCTGCCAGAGGGTGAAGTGCCTCCTCCCAGACCTCCACCGCCGGAGGAGAAGGACGAGGAGTTCCCCGAACAGCAGGCCGGAGAGATGGTCAGCGAGCCCATGATGGTGGCCGCGAGGCAGCTGCACGACGAGGCCCGCAAGTGGTCCAGTAAGGTGAGTCTGATGGGTTTGGGTTGGTTTGCGGCGCATGTATAGATATTAAACAAGGTTTCTTGCAGGGCAATGACATCATCGGAGCCGCCAAGCGCATGGCTCTGCTGATGGCCGAGATGTCTCGACTGGTCCGGGGCGCCAGCGGGAATAAGAGGGCGCTCATCCAGTGCGCCAAAGATATCGCTAAAGCCTCAGACGAGGTCACGCTCCTCGCCAAGGAGGTCGCCAAACAGTGCACAGACAAACGTATACGAACCAACTTACTGCAGGTGAGAAGAGCAAAGAGTCCATAATGGATGATGTGTTTCAGGGTTTGAGATTTATTTAATTATTTAATTATATTTTTTATGATTTTATTATTTTTATATTGTTTTATTTTTATTTGACTTTTTTTTGTTTTATTTTTTAGATGTTTTTATATTACATTTTTATTTTTATTTTCAGTAATTATCTTTTTATGTCTATTATTCAATATTTTAATTTGAATGTCTGACTGAAATGATGCTGTTATTAGAGTAGTTAATCATTAGCATAAGCGCGGCTAACACTAATATAATGAGCATTAGAATGAAGTTTCTTTATTAACTATTTAATGCACCTATAACTTTTATTAGAGTAAAAAAAAAACAGGAGGACATGATGATACAGTATTTACTATTTTTACACACCAGAGGCTTTTACATGAATTGAGAATCTAAAATATGCGTGTTGGATAATGTACAAATGGTTAACACGGTTTGTGTCATATCAGTCAGAAAAGCAGGGCTTCCTTTTTTTTTTTTTAGCTAACTTAGTTGTTATTCTTGGCTGAATAACTCTAGAAGGTTTTCAAAAGCCCTTTAAAATTAAATATGTACACAGTTTGGATTAAATGAACGTATAGTTAAATTTTTTAATTAGCATGTTTTTGTGTTTTGCTTTGGTACAGAAATTGGTACCGAGATCCGTGGATTTTCACTGGTATTGGTACCGAATACTAAAATTTTGGTACAGTGACAACACTAACGAGATACATATCTGAGGAAAAATGCATTGTTGGTCGGCGCCACCTAGTGTGCAGGCGTGAATTAGCAGAAGACGATCAATCGTTTCGCACTCGGTGTGAAAGCACCGTTCTTCGGCGATTCGCATCGCGCTCAGTGTGGAAAGGCCTTTAGTTGAACCTGTGCCCATTGTCTTCCTGGTCAGGCCTTCAGAGGGGCTTCCTGGACTCGGGTTATAAGATCCTGGGTGCCGTGGCTAAAGTCCAGGAGGCATTCCAGCCGCAGGAGCCGGACTTCCCTCCTCCACCTCCAGACCTGGAGCACCTGCAGGTCAGATTCACCGTAGACTCCCGCAGCTGCATGTATTTACTGCACCAGCACGGTTTTAATCACCAGTCCCGGTTCTCCTTCAGATAAGCGACAACGCCGCCCCTCCAAAACCTCCGCTGCCAGAGGGTGAAGTGCCTCCTCCCAGACCTCCACCGCCGGAGGAGAAGGACGAGGAGTTCCCCGAACAGCAGGCCGGAGAGATGGTCAGCGAGCCCATGATGGTGGCCGCGAGGCAGCTGCACGACGAGGCCCGCAAGTGGTCCAGTAAGGTGAGTCTGATGGGTTTGGGTTGGTTTGCGGCGCATGTATAGATATTAAACAAGGTTTCTTGCAGGGCAATGACATCATCGGAGCCGCCAAGCGCATGGCTCTGCTGATGGCCGAGATGTCTCGACTGGTCCGGGGCGCCAGCGGGAATAAGAGGGCGCTCATCCAGTGCGCCAAAGATATCGCTAAAGCCTCAGACGAGGTCACGCTCCTCGCCAAGGAGGTCGCCAAACAGTGCACAGACAAACGTATACGAACCAACTTACTGCAGGTGAGAAGAGCAAAGAGTCCATAATGGATGATGTGTTTCAGGGTTTGAGATTTATTTAATTATTTAATTATATTTTTTATGATTTTATTATTTTTATATTGTTTTATTTTTATTTGACTTTTTTTTGTTTTATTTTTTAGATGTTTTTATATTACATTTTTATTTTTATTTTCAGTAATTATCTTTTTATGTCAAACAGGTGCCAGCAGTACTTGATCAACAAAGGTTTTTTTATTTATTTTTTTTATCCAGAAAGCTACCAAAAATGCTCAAAAGCAAACCAAACTGAGACCAGATAGAAGATACTGGAATAAATTCCAGTTCAATTTGGTTGTTTCTTTTAGGACTGCATTATTTGGGGGGGGGGGGATTAACAGATTTTCTGATTAAAAATTGCGATTGCAGTTGCTGTATAAAATGCAATTTAAAAAAAAGAAACTCCAAGTTTTCTGTGCTTGAATGTAAGGCTGCACATTTTCGCACAAAATTTTGTTATTATATATATATGACTATATAATAGTGTTATTTTACACATGTAATGTTAAAATTAAGTTCAATTTGGGTGTTTCGTTTAGGACTTCATTATTTGGGGGGGGGGGGATTAACAGATTTTCTGATTAAAAATTGCGATTGCAGTTGCTGTATAAAATGCAATTTAAAAAAAAGAAACTCCAAGTTTTCTGTGCTTGAATGTAAGGCTGCACATTTTCGCACAAAATTTTGTTATTATATATATATGACTATATAATAGTGTTATTTTACACATGTAATGTTAAAATTAATATTAATAATAATATATTTTGTATTGTTGTTGTTATATATAAAAAAATATTATATATAAAAATACAAATATGAATCAAAAATAAATATTGTAATATTTCAGTTAAATAAAAAAATATATATAAAAAAATTGAAGAAAAATAAAAAAGTAGTAATAATATAAATGTCAACAGTACATCTGTAAAATTACAGCAGTAATATTTATGACTTTCTTAATTTTTTCATTTTCGAACATTAAACCATCTAGCATTTGGGGGAAAGTGACTCTTGTGAATCTATTCACCAAAAAGATTTGTTGAGTGTTTCTTTTTGTGCCATTTTTACTCCCCTTTCAACAAGATTCACATGTAGTTCATTCAGAATCAGACGCCTCGTTCAGTCTCTAAACACGGATTCGTTCAACAGGTCCAACCAATGATAGGCATGCATTCAAATGCATATCTGCTTGTATTTGTTTTGTGCTTTCTAGTGAACAAAAAATTCGATGCATGCATGGAAATGACTGAGCACGCTGATTTAACACCGCTACAATGGTTAAAATGGTCCTAAAATAGATTTGAATCAACTTTTTGGACAAGGGACAATGCAAAGAAAACTGGTTATTTTTCAACCTTTTGACTGTTTGTTTTTGTAAAATTGACTCAATTGTGAATACACCCATTTTGAGGGATATTTTCATGTGTTTGTGTCTTTCTGCAGGTGTGTGAGAGGATTCCCACCATCAGCACACAGCTGAAGATCCTCTCCACGGTGAAGGCCACCATGTTGGGACGCACCAACATCAGCGAGGAGGAATCGGAGCAGGTCAGATCTCGCCCTCCGCTCCTCTCCGAACCCTGTTTTTAGATTAAACCGGTCTAAATGTGTGCTGGTTCTCTCGCAGGCCACCGAGATGCTGGTCCATAACGCTCAGAACCTGATGCAGTCGGTGAAGGAGACGGTGAGAGAAGCCGAGGCCGCCTCCATCAAGATCCGCACTGACGCCGGGTTCACCCTGCGCTGGGTCCGCAAGACGCCCTGGTACCAGTGAGGGAGGAGCCAGCGCGGATATCCCAGCATGCACTGGGGGAAGCATTACAGTCCAGGTCTTATATGTCAAAGCAGACGTGTCGTCCACATCTGGACTAAACTATTCCAAATCAAAACCTTGTTCTTGAATGACCATGAGTTTAAAAGAAGGGACGTTAACTTGCTCGATTGCTTTTTTTCAAATGATTTATTTTGTTTTGATGGATCCCAGGTTGATATTTTTTGAGGGAAAGTTTAATTCTGGTATTTCAGGAAGGTCATAATTTCTTTTTTCTTTTCTTTTTTTACAGAAACAAAACAATCTGTGCATTTTGAAGCTGTTAATTTCTTAAGGTGTCATTTCTATATATATATGTATGTATGTATGTATGTATGTGTGTGTATATATATATATATATATATATATATATATATACACACACACACACACCAACAGCCTCGTTTTCACTCTTTGAATGTATTAATAAATGTCACATGCACAAACTAATATTATGTCTTCACAAACAAAAACACAAGCACAGATTTTGGATTATAAAATCCTCTGAATATGCCTTTTATTGTAAAGTGTTTATTGTGCATATAAATCAAACTTTCATTCAGGGACGACGCTGCAAACTCCAATACAAGTACTGAAATGAAGAGGGAATCAAACCTGTGACCTGGTGCTTCCTGTAATCTATGCCAAACCAGTCCGTTTGCATGATATAACCACACACACACACACACACTCACTCACTCACACACACACACACTCTCGCACACACACACACACACACAGACACACACACTCACTCACTCACTTACACACACACACACACAGACACACACACAAACACTCTCTCACACACACACAGACACACTCACACACAAACAAACACTCACACTCTCTCTCTCTCTCTCACACACAAAACACACACACACTCACTGCCGTCCTCATATTTCCACTAAGACTTCACTGTGCTCAATACACTACTACAGAAAGCACACTCAAGTATATTTATCTGAGTGAGAATCGGCTCTTTTCATATCTTTGCCTTTTCTATCGTTGAGGAGACCAGCAGTTTAATGTAAATAATGTGTTCATCTTTAAAGACAGCCTGTAAGACCTGATGTGCCTTGTCATAATAAAAGAACTAATTATCAACTGAATCATATGTGTGGGGCTTTATATGTTGATGAATATGCATTATATAATGCTTTAGAGGTCATGCAAATTAAATTGGCCTTCTAAATATAATAGATATTATTATATAATATATAATTACAATTAAATTGTTTTTAAATCTCCAGTTTATTTTTTTGAAGTGAATATTTACACTACATTTGAATAATTTTATAATTAAATTAAAAATCTGAGCTCATCCTCACAACTGGTTGTTAATTTTTTTCTGAACACATGCAACAAATCTAACTCTTGTAAGTCTAAAGATGCAGGATGGAGGAAAGAAGAATAATAAATATGCATATTAATTAAATCTAATTAAAATTGGTCTATTTTACCCATTTAATTATGCTTATTACATTGACACATTGATAGATTCTACACGTTTTCTTTAAATCTACTTTTTAATATTCCTTGCTCAAAAAAAAAACATAATTTAGCTTATTTTAACGTTTATTTTTGCTACTGTACCTTTTAAGACTACTACTGTAAATGTAAATAACCTCAGCCAACTCTCAGCATTCTTCGGTGAAGCAAAATTACTGACTTATACAGATATTGATATTAACAGAAAATATTTTGCAATGTTTTAGGCCAAAATAGAAAGCATCCGCACACCTGGACTTATTTTGATGCAGTATTAAAAAGTATCTCACTATAAACACTATACTGGGACACTATACTGACAAAAAGCACCGTCTTTTGGATGAGACGTCAAACCGAGGTCCTGACTCTCTGTGGTCATTAAAAATCCCAGGATGTCCTTTGAAAAAGAGTAGGGGTGGCCAAATTCGCCCATTGGCCTCTGACCATCATGGCCTCCTAACCATCCCCATATCTGCTGATTGGCTTCATCACTGTCTCCTCTCCACCTGTAAGCTGGTGTGTGGTGGGCGTTCTGGCGCACTATGGCTGCCGTCGCATCATCCAGGTGGATGCTGCACACTGGTGGTGGATGAGGAGATTCCCCCCTTCTATGTAAAGCACTTTGAGTGCCCAGAAAAGCGCTATATAAATGCAAGAAATTAATTATTATAAACACCAATATTAATGTATTGGTGAGTTGAGCAGCTATGCTATTTTGTTGGTATTTTTATGTAAAAGAAGGTAGAAGTGATTACACTGGCAGGCAAAATCACCTTTACTGAAAGTATTGTGCATTGGGATATTGCATGATTACCCTGGTATTAATGAATGCAATCTTCTAAACCAGGGGTGCCCAAACTCGGTCCTGGTGGGCCGGTGTCCTGCAGAGTTGAGCTCCAACCCCAATTAAACACATCTGAACCAGCTAATCAAGCTCTTATAGGCATACTAGAAACTTCCCAGCAGGCGTGTTAAGGCAAGTTGGAGCTAAACTCTGCAGGACACCGGCCCTCCAGGACCGAGCTTGGGCACCTCTGTTCTAAACGCATCAGCAGCAGCAAATAAAGCATGGTTAAAGGGCGGCAGCAGCAGTGTGAGATCTGATCTGAGATCAGCTCGTTTTCTGTCAGTCTGACCGCAGGAAGATGTCGGTGTGTGTGGCGCAGAACAAGAAGACACTGGTCAAACACACAGGCACGATGCGCATCTGTGATGTTCTGATCTCGTGATCACAGGTGCTGCACAGCCGATACGGTACCTAGCTGCCAACATTAAGCACACGGCAAACATGCATCATGCACTCGAATAGTCTATGATTCGATATGCAGAAATGATTCGAATGCATCGTAAACATACGCTGAGGAGTTTATCCAGACCTGTGCTCGTGCGTCATGTGTTTGATATCATAACGTCATATATATGCAACACAGTGTATACATGGTGTTTAGAGCGATGGTTACATGCGTGTGCATGCGAGAATATGACACACTTGTCGCACGCGTGCGTGATTATTGTGTTTTGGGGTTCGATCCTGTCGGATGCATGCAACGAACGCGCTACACATGCTATGATGGTAAGATTTCAGACCTTAAAAACACATATGGGTCTGTCAGCCAACCAGAATAATGAATCTGTCCATGAGCCCTACTTGCATGCATGTGAAATAACCAATCATCACCCATCTGGAGGCGATTTCGGCTTCCGGGTTGCAGGACATTGCATGTGGGAAGCGAATCGCACGCGCTCGCAGCGTGCAGCAGAATCTCTGTTACTACAGACAGCCAAAGTGTGTGAGATCTGATCATGCCGACAGTCAGGTGAGAACTCACTAATGCATTGGCTATATGTATTCCAGTGGCTGTCTCTGTGCTTGTCTGCTTCCGGTTTGGGATTGTGTGTCTTCATGATGCAACGTGCTTTTTTTTCCTCATTTGTGACATCTGCAGAAATTCTGTTTTCGTATTCAGCTTATATATATATATACTCTGACTCGTTTTTTTTTTTTTTTTGTAATTAGGATTCAAAAGATATGGCTATTATAATTACAATAAACATAATTTAATGATAGTAATTACATATATATGTATATGTATGCATGACTTTATGTGAATGAACACTTATTGTACACAATAATTAATTGCATTCATTTTTGAAAGCAGAAATTGTGCACTATTTATTAACAGGGCAGTTGGTAGATTTTAAAAATGACAACTGGAAGGACAACTTCTGTTACTCCTCCAAGCAGTTATTCTGGTGTTTGGTGACTCATGTGTTTGTCTTTATCAGATTGATTTAGACATGCATGTACACACACGCCACAGTAATGCACGCATTATATGCCAGAATGCATGTTGCATATGTTGTTTCCAGTTGCCTAATAAATTTCTGCTTGTGCATAGAATATTGCTCAATGGCAGCCCTGTGTGGCTTTAATGGTGAAGATTTTTGGTTTCAGATTGTTTGCAGTCCGGTCCTGTGCATAGTTTAGAGAGAGAGAGAGAGAGAGAGTGTGTGTGTGTGTGTGTGTGTGTGTGTGTGTGTGTGTGTAAAGAGTTTAGTCAGCACTATAGCATGTGCTCTGCGGTAAACACATTCCGGTTAAACCCATTAAACACACAATAGGTTCAAAGATTCATTTTCAATGTGCATGGATTTTTCACAATGTTAATTCAAATCCAGAAACAGTGTTTTTGTTGTTAACCTCTGATGCATGACATGTAGAGTTGACATGATACACAGCTGGTTTGATGTGTAAAATGGACATTTGTCAGGCTAATATTAGACTTGTGAGTCCATTCAGAGCCACGAAGAGTGAAGTTGACTAGAAAACCTTCCTGATGCTCAAACAGCAAATCATGGTGCTAGCAACACCAGGGTCATGGGTTTGATTCCCACGGAAAGAACTAATAAAATATAGCCTATACCTTGAATGCAATGTAAGTTGCTTTGGATAAATGCATCTGCCAAATGCATAAATATACTGTAAATGTGGAGCACAAGGGCTGGGGGGCTAGAAAGTGGTGCGGCGGTGGTTTAGAGCCAACAACCTTCTACAATGTCAATTTCACTGTATAGAAAACAGCAGGAATTCTGGTCTGTTTGGCTTCTCTCGTTCCAAGGGTTCAAGTCTCAAAGGAAGGGTCACGGAGACCCGATCATGTGACCTCCACCTGTTACGGTCACAGAGTGGATAGTAAAGGAATAGTTCACTCAGGAATCTGCTCAACTCTTGTGTCATTCCTAATGCTTGACATTACAAAAGTTGAAATGCAAAAAATAAAATGCAGTGTTAAACTATATAATGCTATATAAAAACATGTTGCATGCACTGATGAGTTGGGTGGCAGTTTTTGCCCGTGGCAAATTTGTGCACTTCTATGCTTAAAAAAATTAATTAATTAAATAAATAAATAATAATGCATACAGATTTGGAACAAGGGGGAGTCAATTCTAGAATTTTCATTTATAGGCTGTGCACGTTTCATATGCAAAGGTAATTCAAAGTGCTTTGCTCAAATTTTATTAGAAATATCAGTGCATTATTGTTGTAAGGTGATTTATTCATATCTGTGTCTTGTGTTTGCAGTCAGAATGCTCTGTTCGGGATGGGGAATCCGCTGCTGGACATCTCTGCCGTGGTGGATAAGGATTTTCTTGATAAGTGAGTGTTGTGTGTAACTGCAGTGGGTTTAAAGGTCATATGTGCGGCGTGTTCCTTTGACTGCAGTTAAAACGGCACGCTTGAGTGATCACACATCCTAAAGTGATTATTCATAACTAACTAACTGATTGTTGTGTGCACAGGTATGGCTTGAAGCCCAATGATCAGATTCTGGCAGAGGAGAAACATAAAGCTCTGTGAGTGCCGTCATCACGCATTACAGTCACTGCTATAATCTTCAGCAAAATATTAATGAATATAATACTACTGGTCAAAAGTTTGGAATGATTAATAATACGTTTTGAATAATTAATAATAATCACCAAGCCTGCATTTATTTAATCAAAAATACAGTAAAATTGTGAAATATTATTTCAATTTAAAATAGCTGTTTTCTATGTGAATATCTGTTAAACTGTAATTTATTTCTGTGATGCGCAGCTGTATTTTCAGCATCATTACTCCAGTCTTCAGTGTCACATGATCTTCAGAAATCAGTATAATATGCAACTTTTGTGTATCATGAATATTTAATATAATTGCTTAGCATTAGTAGTATAATATTATAAAGTCTAGAGAGTTTCATCTCATCAGGATCTCATATATTCTGATGTTTGTGTGTGTGTGTGTTCTCACTGCAGGTTTGATGAGATTGTGAAGAAGAGTAAAGTCGAATATCATGCCGGTGGATCCACACAGAACTCTGTCAAAATCGCTCAGGTACGTCTGGAACCCACACACTTGTTATTCTGCACCATACATGACCCTGGAGCACAAAACCAGTCATAAGGGTCAGTTTTTCAAACAAAATATCTTCATGGAACATGATCTTTACTTAATATCCTAATGATTTTTGGCATAAAAGAAAAATCTATAATTTTGACCCATACAATGTATTGTTGGCTATTGCTACAAATATCCCCCAGCGACTCAACACTGCTTTTGTGCTCCAGGGTCACATACAAAATGTCTATTAGGGAATTATGGTAAGGCTGTTTTAGATCATTAATTTAAACCAGCTATATAATGTATGTTTGACATCATCTGTCCCTCAGTGGATGATCCAGGAGCCGCATAAGGTGGCCACGTTCTTCGGCTGTATAGGCACGGATCACTTCGGTGAGAGACTGAAGCAGAAAGCGGCTGAAGCTCATGTTGATGCTCATTATTATGAACAGAGTCAAGAACCGACAGGAACCTGTGCAGCCTGCAAGAAGAGTAAAGTCGAATATCATGCCGGTGGATCCACACAGAACTCTGTCAAAATCGCTCAGGTACGTCTGGAACCCACACACTTGTTATTCTGCACCATACATGACCCTGGAGCACAAAACCAGTCATAAGGGTCAGTTTTTCAAACAAAATATCTTCATGGAACATGATCTTTACTTAATATCCTAATGATTTTTGGCATAAAAGAAAAATCTATAATTTTGACCCATACAATGTATTGTTGGCTATTGCTACAAATATCCCCCAGCGACTTAACACTGCTTTTGTGCTCCAGGGTCACATACAAAATGTCTATTAGGGAATTATGGTAAGGCTGTTTTAGATCATTAATTTAAACCAGCTATATAATGTATGTTTGACATCATCTGTCCCTCAGTGGATGATCCAGGAGCCGCATAAGGTGGCCACGTTCTTCGGCTGTATAGGCACGGATCACTTCGGCGAGAGACTGAAGCAGAAAGCGGCTGAAGCTCATGTTGACGCTCATTATTATGAACAGAGTCAAGAACCGACAGGAACCTGTGCAGCCTGCATTACTGGAGACAACAGGTCAGATATAAAACAGCCTTTTCTGCTCATCGAGGCTGTGTTTATTTGATCAAAAATACTGTAAAAATGTGAAATAGTATTATAATTTCAAATATCTGTTTTCTATGTGAATATATTTTAAAATGTAATTTATTTCTGTGATGCGCAGCTGTATTTTCAGCATCATTACTCCAGTCTTCAGTGTCACATGATCTTCAGAAATCAGTATAATATGCTGATTTGCTGCTCAAGAAACATTTCTGATTATTATCAATGTTGAAAACAGTCGTGCTGCACAATATTTTTGTGGAAACTGTGATACATTTTATTTTTCAGGATGAATAGAAAGTTCAGAATGGCTTTTATTTGAAATAGAAATGTTTTTTAACATTATAAATGTCTTTCCTGCCACTTTTGATTATTTTAATGCATCCTTGCTGAATAAAATTAAGTTATTAAAAATAAAAAAGGAATAAATCTTACCTCAATTTGGAACGGCAGAGTATAGGATTAATTTTATTTTATATCGCAATTCATACTAAACATGAAATAAGACATCAAACCATTATAATGTACCTAATACACTGTTTTATCCAGGGAATAGGCACGGATCACTTCGGCGAGAGACTGAAGCAGAAAGCGGCTGAAGCTCATGTTGACGCTCATTATTATGAACAGAGTCAAGAACCGACAGGAACCTGTGCAGCCTGCATTACTGGAGACAACAGGTCAGATATAAAACAGCCTTTTCTGCTCATCGAGGCTGTGTTTATTTGATCAAAAATACTGTAAAAATGTGAAATAGTATTATAATTTCAAATATCTGTTTTCTGTGTGAATATATATTAAAATGTAATTTATTCCTGTGACGTAAAGCTGTATTTTCAGCATCATTACTCCAGTCTTCAGTGTCACATGATCTTCAGAAATCAGTATAATATGCTGATTTGCTGCTCAAGAAACATTTCTGATTATTATCAATGTTGAAAACAGTCGTGCTGCACAATATTTTTGTGGAAACTGTGATACATTTTATTTTTCAGGATGAATAGAAAGTTCAGAATGGCTTTTATTTGAAATAGAAATGTTTTTTAACATTATAAATGTCTTTCCTGCCACTTTTGATTATTTTAATGCATCCTTGCTGAATAAAATTAAGTTATTAAAAATAAAAAAGGAATAAATCTTACCTCAATTTGGAACGGCAGAGTATAGGATTAATTTTATTTTATATCGCAATTCATACTAAACATGAAATAAGACATCAAACCATTATAATGTACCTAATACACTGTTTTATCCAGGGGTTCACTAATATAATCATTGCATTTTATAGCAGATAATTAAAAACATGTCTGATTTGGTAAAATGATTTTGCTGAAATGAAGCATTGTAACAATGTAACTAACTATGGTAACTGCTTAATACTCCTTTAATATTTCCTTAACTAAGGTGGACTGGTCCAATTAAAAAAACAAAAAATTAATTAGTAAATTATGGCTGATTCCAATAAAATCACCAATATAGTTGCTTCTTTATTGATTGCATGTAGGAAGTGTAAAACGTCTATGGTTTATCAGTGCACTAATGCAGTTTTCCTACAGCGTTCAAACTTTGATTTTTATACTGTTTATGACAATCCAGTCCGTTCTGATTGAAAACGTGAATTTGATCAAAAATACTGTAAAAATGTGAAATAGTATTATAATTTCAAATATCTGTTTTCTGTGTGAATATATATTAAAATGTAATTTATTCCTGTGACGTAAAGCTGTATTTTCAGCATCATTACTCCAGTCTTCAGTGTCACATGATCTTCAGAAATCAGTATAATATGCTGATTTGCTGCTCAAGAAACATTTCTGATTATTATCAATGTTGAAAACAGTCGTGCTGCACAATATTTTTGTGGAAACTGTGATACATTTTATTTTTCAGGATGAATAGAAAGTTCAAAACAGCTTTTTGTTTGTTTGAAATAGAAATGTTTTTTAACATTATAAATGTCTTTCCTGTCACTTTTGATTATTTTAATGCATCCTTGCTGAATAAAATTTATTTATATAGGATTCATTTTATTTTATATCGCAATTCATACTAAACATGAAATAAGACATCAAACCATTATAATGTACCTAATACACTGTTTTATCCAGGGGTTCACTAATATAATCATTGCATTTTATAGCAGATAATTAAAAACATGTCTGATTTGGTAAAATGATTTTGCTGAAATGAAGCATTGTAACAATGTAACTAACTATGGTAACTGCTTAATACTCCTTTAATATTTCCTTAACTAAGGTGGACTGGTCCAATTAAAAAAACAAAAAATTAATTAGTAAATTATGGCTGATTCCAATAACATCACCAATATAGTTGCATCTTTATTTATTGCATGTAGGAAGTGTAAAACGTCTATGGTTTATCAGTGCACTAATGCAGTTTTCCTACAGCGTTCAAACTTTGATTTTTATACTGTTTATGACAATCCAGTCCGTTCTGATTGAAAACTTGATTTTTTTTCAGGCCCTCACTCACATGGACTGAGCCTCATCAGGAGCATTGTTTGATTATTATCGTGTGTTTGCAGGTCTCTGGTTGCAAACCTGGCAGCAGCAAACTGCTATAATAAAGAGAAACATCTGGATGTTGATAGGAACTGGAGTCTGGTGGAGAAAGCGAGAGTTTACTACATTGCAGTAAGTGCTTCACATTGGGCATCACGTGCTCATATGGGAGAATAGAGAGATTTATCAGCAGCTGTAACTTATGCAGGAAACTACTGAAGTCACTCTCAATCCTGATCTCTGTCCTGCAGGGCTTTTTCCTGACCGTGTCTCCAGAGTCCATCTTCAAAGTGGCCAAACACACGTCTGACAACAACAAGATCTTCGGTCTGAACCTCTCAGCTCCCTTCATCAGCCAGTTCTTCAAAGAGCCGCTGATGAAGGTCATGCCGTATGTTGACATCATCTTCGGGAACGAGACGGTGAGTCTTCAGATCAGGGTGGATGGAATGGATCAGCACAGTGTCTACAGATAAAAGCTCTCATAAAGTCTTAAATGTCATGTGTGGAGGCCATTTTATTTCATTTCACAATATATTAGGTTGGAGAAACCAGAGATTTCTGATCGTATCAGTTGGCGTGATTAGATTAGAAAGAACATGTAGGTCTTTATTTGCTATTTACCAGAAACAAACAGGATTTACAGCCAATCAGAGTAGAGTGTTATTGGATTGCTTTCCCTTTGCATGTATCTTCTCATCGGCGGTGATGATTGCATGCTAACCGATGATGTTTGTTTTATAGGAAGCTGCTACATTTGCAAAGGAACAGGGCTTTGAGGTGAGTGAAAAATACTGTAATGCCTTTTTGCACACTGAACACAAAAGAAGAAATGATCATTTTTGGATGGACTGCTCCTATAACACTCTCTCAGTACCATCTCAACAATTTCCAATGCGGAATCTTTCCATCTCATTTGTTTTTGTTCTGAAATTCCAGAAACACAACCTGCGTGCCTCTGCATTCGTTTACATGTCTTTCCTGTTAAAACGGGCATTTATCAGGATTGCGACGACCACATATATACACGCCGATGATTTTGTGTTAAAGTAGTTTTTCTTCCATCTGTTTTTATGCTACATTGCAAGAACATTTCTATATTTAATCTATTATATCCTTTTAAGTAAGTGCATTTATATGTCTCAAAAATAATACAAGTAAAATTAAAGTAACAGGATTATATAATAGGTCATGTCTTTCAGGTCAATATTGTTACTTTGAAATACCAAATTGTATCTTAAGCGCACAATCTTTAAATATGTATAAGTTGTATCTGATGTGGGAATTTTGTTTCCTCTTTCCACTTCTGGAACAGGACCGTTCAACTGACCACTTTAATAAAAAGATTTTAATTGTTCCAAAGTTGTACATCTCTTTTTTTTAATATTTTTTTTTATTGTGTGTCAGTGCTATTTTAGTACCAACATAATTTTTAAGTTATTTTATTTTATTTTCCATTTTCATTTTAGTTAAAACTTGAGTAATTTTGCTGTGGTTTTGTCGTTATTTATTTGTTTTTAAATATATCTACAGTGTATAGTTTAAAAAAAATTGTATTTAGTTATTTTAGTACATTAAGTTAAACTCAATTTAAAAAATGTAAATGTTGCTTTGGCAACTAACTGTAACAAAATAAGTAACATTAAGTAATGTTTTTTTCTTTTATTTCAAGTAATATTTTTTCCCCCTGGTTTTAGTTAACTAGTAATCCTTGTGCGTGTGTGTGTGTGTGTATCCTCATAATTTGATAGGAAGAAGCTCTAACACCTGGAAAAAGCTTTCTGTTAGCATTCCCTCTTACACATTTCATTTGCATAAAATCAAACTAAACCAAAATGTACTTAAAACTTTAACACTCTTCGCTGGCTGCTCAGCCAGTGCCATTGTCTACATCACAAAATGCAAACAGAAATAGTCTCATCTAATATTTGTAAATGTTTTCAGTTGGCGTGTTTAAGTATCTGTGCTCTCGTCCGCTGGTGTGTTTTGAGCTCTTCTCTGCTCCAGCAGGTGTGTGTCCAGCTCTCTCAGCTGCTTCAGGAAGCCCCAGTTTGGGATGATGCGGCGCCGGCGTTTGACGTGGTCGATTGCGTCTACAACAGTCATGTTCTCGTAGATCATCAAGAAGGCCAGGAAGAGTGTGGCGGAGCGACTGCGGCCCATCACGCAGTGAATTAGAAGCTTATCTGGAGAAATAAACACCAAGATGGCACAAGCTCACCCAGCAGTGCCAGTAACTAGAAGTCAAGAGTTTCGGACACATGTTAAAAGAAGCGATGAAAACTCAGAATAACACAGATGTAGGACTGGGAATGATGTTGTGATTGGAAGAAAGTGGCACAAATGAAAACTTCTTTATTGTCAAGATTCCAGCTCTGCTCAGTCTTGGACTTTCATCAACCGATTTCATCCAACCAAATTAAACACTACTGAAGGAGGAACAAGTGTAAGGAGCACTTCATGTTGCTTCTCCTTCAATATATATTCCATCTCATTCATTTAAATGATTTTGCATTTAACATTTTAGCTTTGTAAAGAAATTCATTCAAGCAGAAGACTTTAGATCAGTGGTTCTCAACCTTTTTGACTCCAAGGTCCTCCATTGTCCACAACAAAAAATGTATTTTCCCCAAATTAACTCTTTATGCCAAACTAAATAGCTAATATATGTATAAATATTAGTAAATGTAAAAACGGATCCCATTCTTTAAACAACTGAATTTGCATGACTTTCCCAGTCCGTGATTTACTGGATAAGGGTTTTAAAAAATATTTTTACTCACAATTTCTACTTGCATATTCAGTCAACTATGCATATTCTTTTCCAGGTCTAGAAATCGCACTTTGAAAATGAGGCTTTCTCAAATATCCAGGTTTTCCAAGACTTTTCCAAGAATCCTTATCCTTTAAAAAAAATTAAAAATCAGTGGGGTGAATTAAAGTAAGAAATATCTTGATTCTTTGGTTGTTTCAGCATATTTGAAGACTCGTTAAAATCTTTTTAATGCCCCTTGGAAGTTTGCTGAGGGCCCCAATAGGCTCCTGGCCCCTGGTTGAGAACCACTGCTTTAGTGAATAATAAATGTTGTATTTCAGCTCACTCTGGGGGTTTCTGAGGGTCTGGTGGATGTGTTCTGCAGCAGAATAGAAGTACTGGCTGAGGTTGAACGTGGGAACGTCCTCCGCCGTGATCCCGAGGTAATGCACGTCCATGTCTCTGTAGTATTCAGCGCCGGTATCCACACTGTTCCACTCGCCCTCCGCAGCATTCAGGACGTGCGTGATGCCCATCGTCTTCAGCTTGTATCGGTCCTTTGCTATCTCTCTTCACAGAAACAAAACAGCTTAGACTAGTCCATGTTCAGCCCAAGTCTCCTGTTCTAAGAACGATGACTATAAAATCGTTCTAACACTATTTCACATTTTTGCATCACTTTAGAACTGACTGATGTATTTTGGCCAGAAACTATGCCAGTTTAAAGCATCTTGATGGATTTGTTTCTTACAAATACGCAGCTTTTGTCTTCTCCAGATGTTAACTGATGGACTGGAGTGCTGTGGATTATTGTGATGTTTTTATCAGCTGTTTGGACTCTCATTCTGACGGCAACCATTGCTGAGACACTGATGCAATGCTACATTTCTCCAAATCTCATCTACTTATTGGATGGCCTGAAAGTGAGTGCATTTTCAGTTTTTAATTTTTGATTAAACTATTCCTTTAAGAAATTGTAAATAAATCATAGAATTGCAGTTTACAATATGATGTAGGACAAACAAGCAGCTCTGGCTCTGACTTTTGAGATGGTTTCAGGAAAATAATCAGTAGACTTACTGTATAGCTGCAGGGCAAATTTTGTATTTAGTATTTAGTATGCATCCTTTTCATGTATCCTACATTATTAGCATCCAAACTGATATTAAGGTTAGTCAAACAAAACAACTCACTCATTTCCTATGTAGACGTTGGGCCAGACCTCATTGACGTGTGTGTAGGCGACGCTGCCGTGCATGAGGTGTTTCTCCAGCTCGTAGCCGTTTGGTGTCACATATTCCTCTTTCTCTTCAGAAACCTCAGACTTCACTCCAAACTTCCTTCTTGAAGTCATCTTCAACCACGCATTCGATTAAAATTCGAGAGTAAAAATTAGATCCAAAAGCAGAAGCTCAGATGAAAACCAGGCCGAACACAGAACTACGTCTTATTTTACGTGTAAATCAATAGCTGGATGTTATTTGATCATCCTGAGGAGTCCCAGTGTCGCTTCTGACTTCAATATCTGTCTCTTTCTCTGTATTTATGTGTTCAGGTTGGGTTGAGAGGTGCTGAGCTGAGTCGACTGCTTTGGTCTGACGATGGGCCCGGAGGTGGGTGTTAAATCCTGGGTTATTTTTAGAGATCCGTTCCCTCTTTCTCTCACTAGAGAGAGCTGAACCCCCAAAACAGACATTCACACATTTCCCTGCACATTTCTACACATACAAAACTGAACACCACAGTACACAAGTGAACCCAAATGAATGCTGAGAACTGTGATCAAGCATCATGATTTAGGATTATTGTCCTTAAGGTTTGAGCCAGAGCTGTTTGTTTGTTCTACATCATATTGTAAATGGCAATTCTATGATTTGTTTACAATTTCTTAAAGGAATAGTTTGCAGAAAAATAAAGATTAGCAGAAAATTTAGCCACCCTCAGGCCATCCAAGATGTAGATGTGTTTATTTCTTCATCAGGTTTGGAGAAATGTAGCACTGCATCACTGTCTCAGCAATGGATGCGCTGCAGTGAATGGGTGCCGTCAGAATGAGAGTCCAAACAGCTGATAAAAACATCACAATAATCCTCACCACTCCAGTCCATCAGTTAACATCTGGAGAAGACAAAAGCTGCATGCATTTTAACTTTAAACTGCTGCTTCCACCTAAAATACGAGTCCATAATCCATAATATTGCTTTCTCCAGTGGGAAACCGTTTACAAACCAAAACAGTTCTAAACAAATATGTTTGTGGATTTCGATGAGAGAGGCGTTATCACTTGTTAATCGACGTTAATGTATGGACTGGAGTGGTGTGGATTACTTGTGGATTATCGTGATGTTTTTATCAGCTGTTTGGACTCTCATTCTGACGGCACCCATTCACTGCAGAGCATCCATTGCTGAGCAAGTGATGTAACAAGATCACTCCTCTGGCACAATGAACCAAGACCTTCCCCCCTCCTGAAAAACAAAGAAAACTACCATCACACATGCAGGTTTAACCTATTTCAAACCCATCACATAGACGTCTACAGAACATCAAACGCATTCAAGTAAAACAGGATATTCAACATTAGGAATTCATATTTCATTACTTCTTGAGACTAAATTGACCTACTTTTTAGTTAATAAAAGTATACTTTTAAGAATACTTTGTGTTACAGTAGTAAACTTTAAGCAAACAACTAGTTTACAACTACATTTTTCATTTGTACTGCAATACTACAAGTGAACTTATACTGATAGTTTGCTAGTTAAATTCTTTTTTAGTTTATGAAAGTACACTTTGAAGAATACTCTTAGTAAACTACTAGTTACTTGCAAGTTTTCCTTTTCTGTTTTATTTACTCTAAGCTATTCCACCCCAAAGCTGACTTGATCATGCAAGTTTATAATACTTTTTATAAAAGTATTTAATAGGCTACTCAATGAAAACTACAAGCCGAGTAGAATGCTTAGTACTTTTAAGTAGATCTCGATCAAAAGACTGATACTTTTCTGTAAGTATATATCAAGTATACTTATTGTACTTATTTATACTTATTTTATAAATTCGTTGGACTCTAAGAATTTTGATTTTATGATATTTTACATTTTAATCTAGAAATTATAGAAATGTATTTTATTATATTTTAAATATTAATTTTAAATATATTATATTTTTGTGAAATTCTCTGAACTTTGTCATGATTAAATATATTTTAATATATTAAATATATTTTGTTATATTTTAATACATGTATGTATTTTAATAATTGAAATATAATCATATAGTTTTTTAATGACTCTGTTTACTTTAAGGCACATTCTTGGTCTTATTGTGTACGATCTTCATAATCTTTATAAGTGAAATAACTTTCTCCGCCTCTGAAATGACTTTTATTTTGGACTGACATCTTGAATCCTTCTCATTTTTAACCCCTTCCCTCCTGTTTGTTGTTCTGAAAGCACTACAGTGTTAAACTGTGAATCTGTTACGTCATTGTGACTCTGAACATTACGCAGGAATAGAAGATATTTGGACAACAACAAAATACAAGGCCTTAAAAAAAGAGCTCATTTTAATTGAGAAATTAAATCCTGTATCAAATCATGCAATTCCATTATATATGTAAGGCAGATTCTAAATCCTGCATTTCTGCCGGGGATTTTTGCCAACTGTTCATGTCAGTGCTTCTGTTACTGTCTAATGTAGTGTATTTGTGATGAGTGAACAAGGTCAAGCGTGAGGGGTCAAGCGATTAGTCAACAGAAGAGACAGATGGCTGCACGTGAGTGTCCTGCGTAATACTTGTTTATAGATCTGCTGTTGGAATTATTACTTGCTGCTAGGAAGGAATATTTCGTTTTCTGCCTATCTGCCAGTCCATGTGTGGTACGGAAGCAGCTTTCACACAGGAGTCCGCTACTGATCCGTGGCTATTTACCACAAACACAACATTTATCCATTATTTTGATTTCAAATCCAAACATTGTCACTGAAAATGCTTTTTCAGATTTAAAAAATGGGAAGGAATCACTTTAACAAAGATGTAAAACAGGGCAGCATTAAAACACTGCAAAAAAGATTTTTTTTTCTTGTTATAAATATCTAAACATTCTTAAATCAAGATACATTTACTTGAGAAGCATTATGACATAAGATTTTAAGTTTTGATGTATCAAAATAAAGTGAGTTTCTGCTTAAAATGAAAGAGAAAAAAAACATATCTTCAAGTGGGGCAAGAAAAAATATTATTGTTTTCCCTTTGAATAAAGATGATTTTTCTTACTCCCCTGACAGTTATTTTCTTCTTGAGCAAAATAAAAAAATACTATTTTCTTGATTTCTTGATTTAAGAATGTTTACTGGAAATATCCTGAATAAGAAAATCATTTTTTATTAAGTTTTCTGTCTTTCTCCTTTGTTTTTTGAAGTATTTGACACTTCAATTCTCATAAAATCAGGAAGAAATAAAGTAACAGGAGGTTTACATTTCTTCCATTTACGTGTGTGAATATTTATGCACCAAATTTACAATTGACAAAAACTGGGGATTCTAAATATTTTTTTTAAAACGTTGTTCTAAAACTAAGTTATGAATATTATTCATTCTCACTGAAAACCAAATAAAATCATCCAAAATTGAGGTAAATCTTGAAAGAAAGAAAAAGTGTAGAAGCTATTCTCACTCAGAAATTGCTAGTAAAATTTACAATTAATTACAAAGAAATGAAACGTGAGAATTTGAAGTAGAAAGACTGAAACGGTATTTTCTTGTAAAAACATACTCCAATAGTCTGTTTTATTTACAACTTTGAAAAATTACTTTTTACAGTGTAGAAAACACGAGGATCTGCCTCAAATTGAAATCTCTACTTTAAAAATTCCCGGTAACACTTTCCAGTAAGGTTCCATTAGTTAATGTATTACCTAACATGAACAAACAATGAACAATACATTTATTACAGTATGTATTCATCTTTGTTCATGTTAATGAAAATACATTGTTCATGTTAATTCACAACTTTTGATTTTAATAATGCATTAGTAAATGTTGAAATTAACATGAACTAAGATTAAAACAAATGCTGTGGAAGTATTCATGCTTAGTTCATATTAACTAAAGTAGTTAAGATTCAAATAAGGATATTTAATGTAGCGACAACAAGGCAGATTCGAGATTAGATTAGAAGAGCCACACACTCGGGGTAACATTCACAACAATACTAGAATACAAGAGACAGGAACTTATAGGGCAGATAACGATGGGCAGACAGGTGAGCACACTGAGGATAATTAACTAATGATTGAACGGGCTAAACCAACAAAAGGGGAAGAAACCACAATAAACAGTCCACAGGGGCGT